ACTTCCTCTTTGATTCAATTGAGCCACTCGAACCCGTAGACATTTTAAAGAGTTAACACATGTCACAACCCAAAATTCGTCATGTCGTGATTGCACTTAACCCGACCCGCTAGATAAGCCGAATAACCATCAACAAAACTGAAATCAAGTAATAAGAGACAATGGATAAAATATTTGAACTTTCTATACAAATCACAAGGACTGATAGTACAAATCATAAGCTTTTAAGACTTAGAGTTTACAAAGATGGTACGAAGTAGATACATCATTTGTTTGAAATATATATAAACATATTTGCAAATCTATGACTACCAAGGACAAGTGCCAGCTGTAACCGGAATGCAGATACCTCTTCAATGCCAGTTCCCGCCGTACACAGCAACATCACCATCAAGATCTACACGCAAGGTGCAGAAGTGTAGTATGAGTACAACCGACCCTATGTACCCAGTAAGTATATTGTCTAACTTCGGTGAAGTAGTAAGAAGGCTCTTTAGTTAAAAGATACTCATTAATACAACCTGTGCAGTAGACTAGCAATAGAAAAATTACTAAAATATAACAGAGAAGAGTACAAGAAAAAATATACGAAGCAGTAAAAGAATCATTAGAAGAAATTATGGTCAATATTCCTCAATTTGACAACCAACCATTTCCTTAGTACGATGACCATCGAACCTAAGGTAGTAAATCCAGAACTTTCATGGCGTGGGAAGTGAACTCAAAATATCAAATCAAATAGCACGACAACACCCTTCGTGCATTTATCTCATTCTCACTAATATACATATAACAATAACAACCAAGTGAAAGAAATTCCAATAACTGTAATGACAAACTGGAAATTATACAAGTAGCAATAATGAACACGGTACATATGGACAACAGTAACAGATTAGGTAGAGGCATAGAAGTATTGATAGCAATTAAGATGGAAGAACATAAATTTCACTAACTAACATTGTAGAAGGCTTAGATAAAGATATAAAAAATATGAAGGAAGCATGATCTTTATAAGCTAAACAAATAGAAGGCATGAATAACTAATATGATAAAAGGTTTAGATGTTGATATAACAAACATGAAGAAAGCATGATCCTTATAAGCTAAACAAATAGAAGGCATGGATAACTAACATGATAGAAGGCTTAATTGTAGATATAACAAACATGAAGGAAGCATGATCTTTATAAGCTAAACAAATAGAAGGCATGGATAACTAACATGATAGAAGGCTTAATTGTAGATATAACAAACATGAAGGAAGCATGATCTTTATAAGCTAAACAAATAAAAGGCATAGATTACAAACATTATAGAAGGCTTAGATGTAGATATAACAAACATGAAAGAAATCATAATATTTACAAGTTAAATAGATAGAATGCATAGAGGACAAAGGCAGAACAACAACGACAAGTCACATAGAAAACATAGGTGCAATAGTAACAACTCAAGATAAAGGCATGAACTTATACACAAGGAAAAGATATCACGATATAATGCATGTCTCTCATCTTCGCCTGCACGGAAACACTCTTTGTGCCATGAACACATGATAATATAAAACAATGGTACGACATCACCCTTCGTGCTTTTACTCTCATCCTCACATGGCATGACATCACCCTTCGTTCTTAACTCATCCGGACCTAACATAACCATCAAAACTCCGTTCCGAGATTAATTATATAAAAGTCAAACTTGATCAATTCTTCCAACTTAAAGCTTCTTGGTTGAGAGTGATTCTTCCAAATCAATCCCGATCGCCTGAAAATCAAAACTGATGTTTCACATCAGTCACAATACATCATACGAAGCTACTCATGACCTCAAACTGCCTAACTAAATGCACATTCTTAAAATGATCAGTCGAGTCGTTACAACACAAAATCAATATGATGTGGCATCTCCCATAGTGTAGGCATCCTATTTATTTTTTTCTTATTTTTTTGACTTTTTTCTTTCATTTTAACTATTTATTTTATTTTAAAAATTCACATCCATAACTCATACCTTTTGATTGAGGGTTGTGACCTTTCAAGTCCATAACCCCCAATTATTTAATATGGTATAAATTATATTTTGTGTTGTGGCTTTTCTAATCCATAATCTCCATTTGTTTAATGTATTATAAATTGTATCTTCCTTCATTTTCTCCTACTCTGCATCCCCTACTCTTATATTGAGTAACTTTATGCAGGGTAGTGACCACTGATGAATTTGTAACAGGAAGCACATGTTGCTCCAATGGCGTCGCCATAATCTTTTCAGAAGCCAAAAGTAACATGGCCTTGAACATAAGTAACATGGTCTTGCTGATGTTCCTTATCAACGGTGGGTTTTTTCCATCAAATAAAACAAGTAATTTACCTATTTACTTTTATTGATAGATTTTTGGAATAACAATATCTTTTTATATTTATATTTTAACTCATATACTTGATTTTTGGAGTTTTGAGTGGATGGTTCAATGGAGGATAAGCTTAGGTGGTATTGTTTGCTCTCTATTTTCTCTTTTTAGAGTGCCATTATGTACCCAACTGGGATACTCAAATCTATAATTTGTGTTGTTCATGATGTGTCATTGAATTTCCATGACAGAACTTGGTAAAACTTACTTTTGCATTTTAATTCTCAGTATATTTTTATGAAAAGGTGTATCGTGGTCCAGTAAACATATCATGTTGTGCCAGAATCTATCGCATTTCTAGTGCTACCCTCGTGCTTTGGTTTGAATATAACCATTGCAAAAGTTTAAAAGACCTTTCTTATGAATTACATCCATCGACCAAGATGATGATTTTGTAGAGGAGTGAGTTCTATTGTAAGTGTGGAAACTCATCTTTTTCCCTTACTTTTTCCCTTTTTATGAAATTTTTATTTATTGATTAAAGTCTATTATCTAGCTATATTCGTAGGTGACTTTGTCCCAGAATGATTATTTGAAGAGGAGCGTAACTGCCTCGAATCAAAATAAATAATAATACATAGCAAAAGAAAAGGAAGTGAAAATGTAAATGTAAATGCTCCGATCATACATTTAAGTTACATTCGTTAATTTTTTTAACAACTTTTCTCTCTTACTTTCTTATTTGACATTTAGAATATATGAAAAGCTATAAAAACATAATTTTAACTTCCAAGAGGAATATACGTATTTATGTACAAAGTTAAAAAATGTAATATTCATAAGATAAAGTTGAAATGTTTCGGACAAAAAAAAAAGTTGAAATGTTAAAATTACGTAACAAAAAACTAGAGGAAACAACATTTTTGTAACTTCGTCAACCACTATTAACTTTCATTGAATAGATCAGCCTATGTTAGGTCTCCTTAAGGTTTGCATTATATTGCTATATACGACCTTTTTTCAAGTCCACTAATTCGTATGATTTATCATGTCAAGAATCCTCTTCAACATTCCCTATCATATGAAGATAAATGTTTCATCTAATTGTTTTTATCAAATTATTACTAAAAGTTCAATAGTATGAAGTCAAACCACCTCCTTTAGTACGTGGATTCTTGTAATATCTTTTATTTTTTTTTCCTATTCAAGTTCATCAGCACCAATAAAACTTTGTTTGGTTTTTCTAATGATTATTATTATTATATTCACCTAAAATAGTTATTTTGAAGTTTTAAGCTAGGGTGGTAATCAACAACAAAAAAATTAATAGTGAATTATTAACTTTACATTGATTAAAATGTGACTTGAAACTAACTATAATATAAATGAATTTTACTTACTAACATATCTAAAGCTATATGTGTTGTATCATGCAGTTGCGCTACATCTATAACCTATAAGTTCAAAAATAATAAAGGTCAACGGTACTTTTGTTTGGAAGATTAACTACATTTGTGATTGGCATGCATATAAATCAAAAAACTAAGAGGTCGAATATAAAAGAGAGAGATCATCAAATTTTAAAAGCGAGACTCATTAAAGTGTAGGTGATGTTGTCATCGCCAGAAAATATGAAGGAGATCAAAGACACAATATAATTAATGCTAGGGGAACATACGTAAAAAAAAAAAGCCAAGACTTAGATTAACAATTTAAAGATAATAATGTCATTGGTCTTGAGTAACTTATATGTATTAGTAAGATTGTTGCTCGACCACATGATTTACTAGTTTCAATATGAACTCACACTTTTTCACTATAATCTGGTAAAATTATTATATATGTAATTTAATCAATATATAAGACTAATGTTTGCATGAATATACAAAAACAAAAAAAATTAACTTGTTTCATCTCGATTGAAATTACAACAGATCATCCTATAAATTATTTATGTTTTTACAATCTTTAATAATAAAACTTGAAATTTAATCTATTTGGATTTGAAAACTAAAAAGAATCTTTTTTTTTTTTATATTCAAATGTTATAAAAGGTTTATCGTGTATATCTAATAAGGTTTTTACGATCGTGCTACAAATGCACTAGTAATTATTATACTCCCTTCGTTTTAATTTAAATGATACTTTTCCTATTAGTCTATTCTAAAAAGAATGACACATTTTATATTTAGAAACAATTTAACTTTAAATATTTTATTTTACCTATTTTAGCGTTAATGAGAATCTTTTATAACCACACAAATATTATGACTCCACAAAATTTTTGCCCTTTAAACTTTAGGACCACATATTTCAAATATTTTTTTTCTTAAACTTTATGGTAAGTCAAACTAAATCATCTAAATTAAATTTTAAAACTAGGTATAGGATCCGTTAGTTAAAAATATAGGATCAATAGGCCAAAGTGGCGTGAAAATATTGAACTTTTAACGAGAAGTTTTATTTTGTACGTGATACAACTTACACTAGTTCTATAACACTCATTTTTATGTCATAAATTTGTGGACCCAATTTTATACTTGTGGGTCCACAGAAATAAAATAAAATTTTCCACTTTTAACGGATGGCAATCACTGTGTGTTCCGTCGTCATCACCGTTGCGAATGACTCCAATTTCTTTTAAAAGAAAGCACAATGCTTCACGCAAACTGAGTTTGTATTGGCTCGCAGGGGTTCTATTCTTCACACAAACAGCCCCACAGTGCAACTGTCTGCTTCTGGATTGTTAACCATGTCAGTGATTGCTCTTTTCACGGCGGCGACGAAGCTCGCCGGAGTCCTAGTAACGGTCACTGTTGCCGCCAATGCCTTTTCCTACTCTGTCTACCGGAAGAAGAACCTCAAGCAATTTCGCTCTCCCATAGACGACTCCGCCGATGTTCTTGCTCACTTCAATGTCAATCCCTCTGGTAAATGAACTCCTTTTAGCTTTTAAACCTAATCGAAAACTTTTCAATTAGCCTATTCTATCTGTTTCATTTTTTTTATGGAAGTGTGTGATTGAACATGGAGTTTAAGATGCTATGGAAGGAAAGGAATTTAGTTAATATATTAGTTCGACAGAGAAAATGTTATGTACAAGTTGAGCGAGTACGTTATTCCATTTTGGATGGTCAGTTGATATAATTTTTTTTTTCTCAGTTGATATAAATTGACTTCGTCAGTAAGTTAAATGAACACTTGGTCTAATCATTGTGAAGCAAGATTTTATTTTAGCTTACGCTTACTTAAACTCTGGATAGAAAGGTGGATGGTCCCTTATCCCTGAAAAGAAAAAGAGGAAGGTTGATGAGCCTTACCTGAATATCCACCTTCCTAAAACTCTTATTCACCCTACACTGGTATCCCCCATATTCTAGGGTTTCCATACGATTTTTGTGACTGATACATGCTGATAGCGTTCTTATGTGAAGTTAGATTAAGTTAGTATTTTGTGTGCTGCAACTAACTTCACATCAGTATTCAATAATCCGTGGTTTCCCCATAGAATACTCGAGGGGTGTATTATGTTATCATACAGTTTAATGCTGTAAATATGTTTCTCTTTTCAGTTATACAACTCTTGCTGCAGTTATATGGTTCATGCCTTCACATAGATGCATATGATTGTCCACAAGAAATTAACATAATTATCGAATATCTGTATATGTGTGAGTTTGTGGTTTGACCTCTCGGCAATACTATCTAGAAGGGGAGAAAGGATTCTTTTTTGGATTGGCTACAGCACCTGCACATGTTGAAGACAGGCTCGATGATGCTTGGCTCCAGTTTGCCGAAAATACTTCCTGCGACCGGTCAGAATCACATGAACACTCGCACCCTCAACCAGCAGATGCTATTATGGCCTCTGCTACAGGTGATGGTGGATCCCAGCAAGCCCCCTTAACTCAGAGAGAAGCTAACAAGACAATAAAGAGGAAAAAGTCCCTTAAGATAGCCATCGAGGCACAAATAAGAGGATTTGAGAAGTACGTAGAAGTGGAAGAGCCAACTCCAACTGAGCAGTGTGATCATAATGTTGCTGCCTGGCATAACGTCCCACACCCGTAAGTTCTGTGGTTCGGCTTAGACATTTTTATTGAAGTCTCAGAAATTATGAGTGCATAGCATGCTGAACTCTAACTAAACTAAACTCGTAAAGCTTTGCTCTCTGAACTTGTGAAGTCTCGATAACCTGATATTAAATATCAACAAACCATTATCCACTTTATTTGCTTTGACTTGTTGAATATTTGAGATTGTCTCAGGGAGGAAAGGCTAAGGTTTTGGTCTGATCCTGACACTGAATTGAAATTAGCTAAAGATACTGGTGTTCAAGTCTTTCGAATGGGAGTAGATTGGTCCAGGATCATGCCTGAAGAGCCACTCAGTGGATTGAAAGAAACTGTAAGAACTTAACAATGAAATGCATTAGTCTACTTTTATATTGTTATTGTATTCTTTATGTTAACCATTCTTACAATTCGTGCTGACTCCTTGATTTCTTAAACTCACTTTAGCACATAAATATATCCGACTTCTGTATCACTAGAAGCATGCTGTTTTGGACGTTATGGAAACGGATTTGATGCAAACATCACCTGTGCTAACTATCTCCAATTTCAGGCTATTGTAAAATTTGTTTTCTCTGTTCCGAATTTCATATCAGCCTTTGTTTTGGTTTCCTAAAATTAATTTCCCCCTAAGAAGACCATATCTTCTACCCAAAGTAATATAACACCAGAATTTATGTGGACTTGCTGGTACTTTAATAATAGAGCCTTTCTCTTTTTCACTTTTCTAAATCTGGAGTGAGAGGTAGCCCTCACGTGTTCTCCCACCTTACACTAAAGAATATACTTTTTGATTCTTATCTTTTTCATTTTTGGTGTCAAGGCAAAATCAGGAATTATATTTTGATATTCTTTTGGGGAGGGGGATTGGGAATATGAAGATCACGTGGTTAAAGTAATGTGGTGAATATGCTTTACATACTCCTAAGACATATTAAATTACTTGATATATCCTATAGGTCAATTTTGCGGCATTGGAGCGATATAAATGGATCATTAATAGGGTCCGATCCTATGGGATGAAGGTCATGCTGACATTGTTTCATCACTCTCTACCACCGTGGGCAGGAGAATATGGGGGATGGAAATTGGAAAAGACAGTTGACTATTTCATGGAATTTACCAGGTTTGGTTACTGTATATTTTAGTTCTTCAGGGTCAGGCTCATATCAACAACAACATACCCAGTGTAATCCCAAAGTGAGTTTTGGGGAGGGTGGAGTGCACGCAGACCTTACCCCCACCTTGTGTGAGGTAGAGAGGCTGTGGGATCAGGCTCATATATATCAGATAATTACCCCATCATGTAGCTTAAATTATAGGTACTTGATACTTGTTCTTTACTCCTATATCCTTAGTCTGCCAATCAACTATCTAAATATGATGTACAATTTGGTAGCAATTATGGCCAATCACATGTAACACACTTCGTCAACCAGCATAATTATGCAGTTCATGTTTAACACTGTAATGGGCTTGCAAGGGATACTCTCCTGTTACTAATGGGTATGTGCTCCATTGTTACAGGCTTGTTGTTGACTCTGTTGCAGATATAGTGGACTATTGGGTCACTTTTAACGAGCCTCATGTCTTTTGTATGCTCACTTACTGTGCTGGTGCCTGGCCTGGTGGTAATCCTGATATGCTGGAGGTTGCTACTTCTGCTTTACCTACTGGTGTCTTCAATCAGGCCATGAACTGGATAGCAATTGCGCATTCAAAGGCATACGATTATATCCATGAAAAGAGGTATCCAGCTACTCCATGTACTTCTCTTTCTCTTTTCACTCCATGGTACAATGAGATCTTCATTTCCCCATCATGTTTAAAGGCATTTCAGTGACTTCAAGTTTGTTATTTGATTGATTTTCTTTCTACTGTTTTAGAGTTTGTTGTTAATATTATTTTTTTCTTCCGGAGAGGAATTATTGTGAGATTGGACTGATCCAGAAAAAAAAAAATTATTGTGAGATTGGAAAGATGTTATTGAGATGTGTACTACACCACTACATTAAAGAGCTCCAAATACCCTGTGAGGCAGATCCAGGCTTCAAGAGGATTAGTGAGCCTACACTACCTTTAACATAGACGTTCAATCTGATTATATGGAATTTGATGGTGATAACAACTAAATAACTGTAGTTAGTTGATACTATCAGTACCATACGTAACGATAAGACCAAGGATGTGATTCAAGATCATAGAGGGATACTATAGCATATAGGGATTAGACTTCGAAGAAAGAAAGATAAGAAACTTTTTTTTGTTTTTGGGAATTTTATTACCAGTATCAAATTTGATCTAATCTTATTTTGCAAGAAAATAATCCTACATCTATTAAATGCAATTTGAATTTAATTTATTAGGTAATAACTAGATATTACTTTGTTTGGTGATACTAGATGTTGATCCAAAAATAGGTATTTTATCTTTATTTGGTGATACTAGATGTTAATCCAATTTTTTTATTTTTTAGAGATTTATGTAGTATTTAAAAGAAAAATCACGCATAAATATCTTAAGTTAAATATATATGCCAAATTGTGAAACTAGTTACTAAGTATGTGTAGGGGTGTTCATTGTTCGGTCTGGATCTGTTTTTTCCTAAAAAGAAACCAAACCAAGTAAGTCGCTTCTTCAAATATTGGAACCAAACCAAACCATTAAGTCGGTTTTTTATCGATTTGGTTTTTGTTGGTTTTTCGATTTTTTCGGTTATTTATCGGGTTTTTTCTTAAATATGAGACATACACTACCAAACACATATTCCGACGACTATATTTTCAACGTAATACTATCAAACCCACCGCTGGGCCGTGATGGCTTCTAACGTCCACTTGCTAGGCAAGCCAACATTAGTACATAATTACTCATTGTAAAACCAATTTAGAAGCAGTTTAATAAGAAATAAAGCTGTAGAAATTCAAAATAGATATAATAACTTCAAACGTTCAAATAAAAAGTTAAATCTTAAAAAGATGAGTGTCTTTAAGCGACTATAGATAACGAAAATTACAGTTTAGCAAATAGTTATTCCATTTAGTGCAGTGACTGTTCTACAACAATTTATTCACAACAATCGAAATGAAAACAAAAAAAAAAAAAGAAAAAAGAAGCAAATACATGCTGAGCCTTTGAAAAGTGAACATTGTGCTAAAATTGAAAATGATGTACAAGAGTGTTTGGCAGGAGTCTTGTATTTGAGACGTGAACTACTCAAGTGTTGGTGCAACTTCAGTTCAAATTTTAGGGATGTTTTTAGGTGATTTATTTTTGTGATAGAGAAGTCTGCTACTAAGTCCTCAATTTGAAGGAAAGTGACATTTTTGTTACAAATATGGAACAGGGTTCTTTCTGGTATTTCCAGGCATAAAAGTAACATGTTCTTGACAAATAGATCCTAAACATTTTAGCAAATGGATAGAAAGGTTGCACATACTATCTGGAAAGCAATATTGTCCTACTTCAAATTAATAGCTCATTGCAGGCCATTCCGGTCCATAACTTCCAAATGAAAACCATAGAGAAACTTGAAATATTTTGAATACCTAAAGTTGCAAAGACGTGCTTTCTTAAGCTGTAGTATCGCTTCTTCATTTATTCCTTTGTACTTCGTCAGGAAATTGAGTCCTATTTCAGCACAGTTGAACTTCGGTTTAGCAGCATGCAGCCCTTGTGCATGTGATCATTTGGAACATTTTAATTTAATACTACTGTGCGTTCTATCTTGATTTTCTTTTGCCCTTCATCTGTCTTGATTTCGTTTGATTGTTCTTGACCTATGTTACTCAGCAAACCAGCGAATGCCATTGTTGGAGTAGCTCACCATGTCTCATTTATGCGTCCATATGGACTATTTGACATCGCTGCCGTCTCACTTGCCAATTCTTTGACTCTTTTTGCTTTTCTGGATAGTATTTCCGACAAGATGGATTACATTGGAATTAATTACTATGGACAGGTATTGGAGTGTTTGGACAAAGTTCAAATGGAAAAACTCTTGTTCTGTTTTTCTATTGCCTCGTTTTTGTGACATTAAACTCTGTGCTTCTTTGACTTGAGCAGGAAGTCATTTGTGGTGCAGGATTGAAACTAGTGGAGACAGATGAGTACAGTGAATCTGGGCGTGGAGTCTATCCTGATGGCTTGTTCCGTGTGTTGCTCCAGTTTAATGAAAAATACAAACATCTTAATCTTCCCTTTGTAATCACTGAAAATGGTGTTTCTGATGAAACGGACTTGATTAGAAAACCATACTTGTTGGAACATCTGCTTGCAACTTACGCAGCCATGATAATGGTTTTGACTCTTTGGACTTCATCTCTTAATATATTCCAAGACTTCACCAACTTTATTTGATTGATTATGTGGACTTGCTTCTTTTTACTAATTCAGGGTGTTCGTGTGCTTGGGTACTTGTTTTGGACTATCTCTGATAACTGGGAATGGGCGGATGGGTATGGTCCTAAGTTTGGACTTGTAGCAGTTGATCGTGCCAATAATCTTGCTCGGATTCCACGTCCTTCATACAATTTGTTTTCAAAGGTAACCCTTCTTTCTGATATCTCCTCATATTCTTCTTGATAATTTTGCTGACATCATGATTTTCAGATTGTAGCATCTGGAAAAATAATGCGGGAAGACAGGGAACGTGTGTGGGGTGAGCTCCAAACCGCCACTAACGAGGGAAAAAAGAGACCGTTCTATCGATCGGTGAATAAATATGGCTTAATGTATGCAGGTAATACAGAAAAGTCAAGTCTACTTTTGGCCTGAAACAGGTTCCAGACAATTCAAGATTTTAATCAAAATTTTGATCTAGATCTCCTTGGAAATCTAAATAAAAGGCATAATTGGGCCAATGTTTAGATCTAGAGTAGACATACTGCAATTTTGAATCTAAAAGAAGCTACGTTATGATGGATTCTTCCAAATGCTAATTTGGTGCCACTGCTCGGTAGTTCCATTTGTCTGTTGATCTAGCCATAAATAACTTTCATATGAGGGACTTCTGATGTTTTACACTTGCTGGATAGCATTCTACAAGACAAATGGCTTTACTCATGGTTTAATCTCGTGGTTGACCTTTGTCGAGTGTTTTTGCTGTGGTTGGTAAACTAGGTTAGCTTAAAGGGAAATGTCACTTTAATTGCCTTAATACTTTAGCAGGCTACCTCAAGCATGACACCTGCATGGGAGAACAATTTTTTTTTTTTTTTTGTTTGTTTGTTTCCTCAATGATAAAGTTTACACAGTGATTCCGCCCTCCTTATCTTCACAAGTATTACAAATTGCCATTTATTGTTATGATCTGTTCGTTTCTCAGGAGGCCTTGACGAGCCCTTATGGCGACCTTATGTAAAAAGAGATTGGCGGTTTGGGCACTATAAGATGCAAGGTTTGCAGGATCCGTTGAGCCGTTTTGCACGATGTCTTCTGCATCCTTTCTCACTCAAAAAGAAGGCAGAGACTGAGAGAGAGAGTGGTACATTGACTCGTGAGCCTCTCTTGGCAAATATCTAGTTACTACTGCATCAGATTGTTTAAAAAATTCTCCTTGAGAATCCTTAACTGGATGCTATAGTAAGGTATGCCTGTCAGCAATGGCCCTGCCTTTGTTCCCTCATGGATGAATAGTATTTTTCCATTGAACGCTTTTTTTCCCTGATGTGGTGATTAGGAGATAAATAAGATCATGCAGAATGCTATTATTTCTGTAGTATATTTTAGTGCTATGTATAATTAGTTTCTTATTAAGCTTCTGTTAATATTTGTTTACTAAGGAATCTAAATTTAGATGGAGGGTATTGTTCTATATCTAGGGTTTTGTGAAGCCTCTGACTTCAACTCTGCTTTTAATTTTTTATTTTACTAGTCTTAGGGTACGCATTTTGCGTCTGTACCTTTATCAATAATATAACTAATCTCTTATGAACAACACAAATAATATTGAAAATAGTTTTGCGTTATAAAATAAAAATTTACAAAAAATTGCGAGTTCTTGAAAATAATGTGTTAATCATGTCTGGTGTATGGATCCACTTTAGTAATTTTTCCTCCGGTTTGTTTAAGTATTTACTTATTGTAAAAACAATATATGGAATAGTCTTTCTTTTTGTAATGTTTGTGCAAATCCTAGCTTGTGTACCTATTTTAATGACTGTACAATTAAAAAAATCTTTTTTATTCGCCCGCCAAATAAATTTATTTTCTTTCTCTCCCGATTGTTCTTACACCACAAGGAATTATAGGATTTTTTTATTTCTCAAGTATTCAACTGAGTTTTTGGGTAGCTTCTTTCATTAAACCTTTTTTTGTCCTGATGTTTGATGTGAATAATATAATATCTCCAATAACATAAAGTTTAAACTTTTTTTTTCATGAGTTTATATTATTAATTTGATGCATTGTGCATATAGAAACCCTTTATCAATTCACTTTATTTTGTTTATTGTTTTGTTTACCCTTAAAATTGGATAACAATTAAACTTATAAGTGGTTTTAAGGATATGTGATTTCACTTGGCACAAACTGATAATTATAAGAATTAATGTTAGAAATTAACATTAAAATAAAGCAAACCAATGTGATGAACAACCGTGGCCCCCGAGCTAGATCGCCCTCGAACAACAGAGTATGCTAAAAAAGTATTAACTGAACAGTAGAGCCTAAGAGAGCTTAGCAGAGAAAAATGTAGCATATTGCTTGATTATGCGTGGATGTATATATTTACAAAATGATTAGAACCCCCTTTTATATAGTAGAGGAATTCATTAGAACCCCCTTTATATCATAGAGGAATTCTACTTTTGGTACAGTTCTAAATACATAAAGAAATATCATGATTAACTAAATAACCTACCTCGACTTCATACATGCCGTGATTTCCGCCACGATCCTTGCCCGGTCACGAATATCTCGGTTTTCTGTTATTCGACTTAGCAGTCTTCCTTCAATCTCCATCTCGCTTCGATCTCGATCATGGCTGGTCTCGATCTTGATCGGTCATTGATTCATGAGCTTAACAATCCATCTCCGTGCCATGGTTTGATACAACGTGGGGCCGAGCATTGGTCTGCTGCCCCGGTTCCGATTAGCCATATAAAATTAGGCAAGCCCGATTTTGACCGTATACAGATAGTTCCCTCGTTTTTTGGAGTATAATGACAAGAAACGAATTGCGTCTTCGAGCTTTCCCTCGTTTTACGATGACGTAAGCGACGAGCCCGATCATGACGTCAGCGACAAATGGGCACTGAAACGTCCCATCGGTTCGAATGTCGAGACATTAAATGTCCGTCAGTTGTTGTCAGCCACTACCGATTCTGAAATGTCGTCTTCAACCTATAAATATATCTTCCTTCTTTGCCCAAACTTTACTTTCAATCTCTTTCATTCTAATCTTCATAGTTCTTTGCATTCTTCAGAGCTTCCTATCATCAGATCTTTGAATTTCTTTGCTTTTTCTTCCCAAAACACTGAAAATTCCAATCGCTATTCTTTCTCGCTTATAATGGTCAAAACATCTAAAATCGTTCAGCGAAAGGAGACTGCTTCATCGTCGCGGTCGGCCGACGAGGAACCGGCGGTGGAGCCACGCCCTGAAGAGTTCTTTCCTAGAGGGCGTGTTCTCGACTCTGATTTCAAGGTTGAAAAGACTTCCTCGGTGCCGGACCGATGCAAGCCGGTATCGAGATATATATGCTATCACCGAAAAAATTCTTTCCAGGGTTAAAAAAAGATTGCAACTGGGGTAAAAAAAATGTGGTGGTACCTGCTCCAGAAGAGGCAGTCATCACTCATGTGGAAGGGTTCTTAAGTGTTAACACTTACCCTTTCACGTTGGCTCCCTTGGATCCGATCATCATAGACTTCTGCAAGAAGTACGAGGTGACCCCCGGTCAGATTCATCCCTCCTTTTGGAGGATAGTGATATTACTTCGTTTCTTCTCAAGCAAAGTCGATGGGCTTCCCTTCACCCTCGACCACCTCATATGCCTATATAGCCCCCGACTCTATCGAGAGGGACTAATAAAGCTTCAATGTCGAGCTACCAGGGCACCTTTTTCGAGCATAGATGAGGACAAAGACCGGGGATTGATGGGTAGATTCGTTCGAGTGAAGACCTCGGACTTGATCCCGGCCGAAAGCATACCATTTCTTGAGAAATGGAATATTAAACGTAAGTGTGACTCCGCTCATAATTCCTATTTATGGTCCTCGTTCTTTCAACCTTTCTTATCAGTGTTTTACTGGATGGAGCTGTTGCCTGCATGCCGGGTGCGGTCCCCCAACTCGAGGACTAGGTCAGGAGACTGATATCGCAATCGACCCATGTTAAGCACACATGGCGTGATTTGGCGAAGGGTCGATGGGAGCCTAGTAGCCATGGTAAGTTTCTCTCCTTGACTTAGTGATTTGACCACTGTTCGAGCATTTTTCCGAACTTATTTATTTCTCTTCCTTTGTAGGTCTTGGGAAGGAGGTGATGATGAGGCCTTCGTCAAGTGATGAAGAAATTCCCCCCCCCCATCATCTCTTTCGAAGCCGGTAGGGGAGAAGAAGAGGAAGAGGGCTTCGACTTCTGCGAACTCTGAGGGGCAGAAGGCCAAAAATAAGACAACCCGTAAACCCAAGGGATACATCATCCCTTTAACAATGGACTCTGTCCGTCGGCTACTAGAGGATCCCGAAGAGGACGAAGAAGAAGAGAATGAAGATGATTCCGGGCTGGTGGCCCGTGCTCGACACTGCTCCGCCTAGGCTTAATGAGGCCGAGGAGGAGACTTCGGCCCAAGTCCCCGAGCCAAGAGGGAATGAAGATGCTTTCCCTCGGGGCAAAAAGATCGTTGAAGAGGCAGTGGACATTGCTGTAGAAACCATGCTTAAGGCTCCCCAAGACGGAGGCAGTGCCTCAAAGGACCCGCTTGGGGCAATAGATATTGGGGATTCCACCTCATTCTCTCAAATTTCTGATTCGATGATACGTGAAACTCAGGCTGTGGAGGCTTGTCACGGGGAAGGAGCCCACAGAAAGGAAGATTGTTTTCGTGGCTATTTTGCTGAGGTAGAAGACGTAATCGGTTTGGGTGACTTGGATGTTCCGAAGAAGAGCTCGGGCGAGACTTCTTCGAGTCTTAAACTGATCAATTAGTTTTTGTCCCCTAGTGTTGATCTCGGGTGCAAGCAAACAATCATTATCACGATCCCGGATGATGCCCGGGTTCTTGCTGCCCCCATAGGGATGGCCAGCTACATCCAATGTTTGGTCACAGAAGGAGAAGACCGAGCCCAAATGGATGCGGTGGGAGCGCCCCGACTTTTCAACGAAGCCCAACGGGCTCTAAACCGAGTAATTCCTAATTTTCCTATCAATTTTCATACTTAGATCTTTCTCCCTTTGTATAACTTTCCCTTCTATGTTTGTAGGCTTCGGTGCTTCATCACGAGGCTTTCCTCCGATTTCGAGGAGAGCTGAGTCGACATGGGGCTGAGGTCTGAGGGCTTACTGAGGAGAAAGATTCCTTGAAGCTTCTTAGTGAGCAAAGAGAAAAGGAAGCTAAAGGCCTTCGTGCTGAGCTAGAAATGGCTCAGAATGAACACGTCGAGTTGTCCAAGCAAGTAAGAAGAATCTTTGAAGTTAAAGACAGTGACTCGGTCATGGTGACTGATGGTCCGAATCCGTAGGTCCAACAAAAGTTCGATGTAATTGTGCAACTCCATAAGGAAGTAGAAGCTCTAAAGACTGAGGTCGAAGGATAAAAGAAAAACATGGATCGCTTGGCCTCAGAAAAAGAGACTGTCCGGGCCCAGCTAGCCTCGACTGAAATCTAGCTTCAAAATATGAAAGAGAAGACCTTGTCGCAAGCCAAGAAAATCGAGGATCTCCAGTTCGAGTTGGGTTCAGCAGATTCTGTTCGGGTGAATTTTGTCACGGAGCTTGAAGTGGCAAAATCGGAGGTCAAGAAAACCAAAACTGATGCTGACCCTGTGGTGGCTATCTACCGGGCTAATGCCGAGGCTGCTCAAGCCCAAGCAAAGGAAGTTGCTGAGGTCGCTCAGATTCGAGTAGAGAGGATCGCCGAGCATGCTAAGCTTCAATTTTGGAGGGGAACACTCGAGGAAATCCACACTCAGGGTTTCGACCTTTCAACCGAGATCGAGAACGTCAAGAAGCTTGAAGATGAGAAATTAGCTTATCCTGATGATGACAAATCTGAAAGCTTGAGCAGATTCGAAAGTGCAGAAGACCCCGAGGATGGGGATGCCGCTCCTGGAGACAATCAGGACACTTAGGCTCTTAGTTTCTCGCTTTTTTGTAAAGAACTTCCATCGAGGTTGTTTTGGCATTTTGTAAAGAATTTCCATCGAGTCGTGTTGCCTTTGTAAAAAGTTTTTGATGAATATAAAACTTCTTCCTTTCCATAGCTTATGAATCTGTTGTCTTTTTTTTTGTGTGTGGATATTTCATGTAAGGGTCAAAATGCCTTAGCATAAGATCATGAAGTTGTGCTCATGGGTCGAAGGTTTTGGGAAGGTAAGGGCCGATAATAAGCCCCGCCTTCGACCTTTTCTAATCGATAGAACTCGAATGATAACTCGAACTTGAGTGTACATAGCCCTTAAGCTTAATGATCGAGTGAGGACATGCTCGAACTGGGGATTAGGTAGCCCTTAGGATTTCTAGTCAAGTGAGAAGGATATCTCGAACTCAAAGTGAAAGTATGTAAATTTTGTATTTGGCCGATCTGGCCTTTGTAAAACGATCGATTGTATACATAAGGCTTTTCTCCCCTTTTTGGCTTTTAAAGTTTTCCCTTTGTTTATCATCCG